TATTGCTGGTCTCCCAAGACGCCGCATTCACTATATCTGGTCTCCCAGGGCCCTGCATTCTCTATATTCGGTCTCCCAAGACCCCGCATTCACTATATCTGGTCTCCCAGGACCCTGCATTCACTATATCTGGTCTCCCCGGACCCTGCATTCATTATATCTGGTCTCCCCGGACCCTGCATTCACTGAATCTGGTCTCCCAGGACCCTGCATTCACTATATCTGATCTCACAGGACCCTGCATTCACTCTATCTGGTCTCCCAGGACCCTGCATTCACTATATCTGGTCTCCCAGGACCCTGCATTTACTACATCTGGTCTCCCACGGTACACAGAACATGAAAATGCAATCATTTTAATAAAGATAAACTGCTAAATAGCTTTTCTCATCAGCAGTTAGAGCAGTCCTGTGGCTTCTAGCAGTGTTCAGTCCAACACTAGTTAAAGCTTGTAGGAGGAGTTTTCTTTCTGCTCTAGGAGGATGCAAAACCCCTGACCTCTGTATGGACAGTGCTGTTTGGCCCTGTGCTGATCACACGCACTCTCCCAAGAAAAAATAAACCTCTCTAGCAATACACACCAAACCAGGTGCGGACTGACCATTTGGAAACCCGAGCACTGCCCGAGGGCCCGGGGTCAGTAGGGGGCCCCATGAGATGCCCCTGGTACCTTTTTCATAGGCTATTTTGAGTTTGGGCAAGGGCACAGGGGCCCCATGATGCCCTATTGCCCGTGAGCCCCAAGAGTTGTCAGTCCGCCCCTGCACCAAACTGAGCATGTGCAAAATGCCTACGGTTCAGTCTGTCTTATCAGGAGATAAGAGGTGGTCTTTTGAAAAAGGGGAGGAACAGAGAAGACAGGATCAAACAGCTTTTTTACACAATGCAGAGGATTAACCCGTTCCACAGTGAGTATAACAAGCATGTTTTACTGCATATACAGATTGGTTTTACTGTTGTGGGTTTAGTAACACTTTAAGGATAGGGTGATGAGGGATGAGAGAATCTGCCAAGAGTTCGGCAGATCTCTGAAATTTGGCAAACCCAAAGCGGGGAATCACACTGAAGTCTAAGCCCTGGTTCACACCGGTGCGACTTCAGGTGCGACACGCGATTTACAAATCGCACCTGAAGTAGCATTTAATGTGTTTCTATGGCACTGTCTTATTCAGTACGATTTGAAGTAGCGCAATTTCAAAAATAGTTCCTGCACTACTTTGTTCCAATTTCATTGCGACTTGCATTGACTTCTGTTAAATGAAGTTGCAAGTTGCAGTGAAATCGGAGGTACAAATCGCACTGATCTGCGTGCGGCTTTGAAATCACGGTACTTAAAGTGAAGCAGTGCGATTTCAAAGTTGCTTTCACGGTGAACCAGGGATAAAAGAGGAGAATTTGTTGTAAACTCTGGCCATTTTAAGGGCTAAGAGGCAAACTACTGGGACATCAAGGGACCAGGGGCAGATTGACCATTTGAGCACTCGGGCACTGCCCGAGGGCCCGGGGTCAGTAGGGGGCCCCATGAGATGCCCCTGGTACCTTTTTCATAGGCTTTTTTGAGTTTGGGCAAGGACACAAGGGCCCCATGATCCCCTATTGCCCGGGGGCCCCATGAGTTGTCAGTCCGCCCCTGATATATATAGATATATATATATATATATACAGTATTTATATATATACTTGCTATACAGCAGGGCCTTTTGAAGACAAAGCAGTATTAAACACAAAAGCAAACATTTATTACCCATTCTTAGATGTGATTGCTGCATTAGTTTTCTTTTTTAAAATCTTTATTCTATATTTATCTGGCGTTCCAGCCAGCAAGTCTTTCTAATATCCCTTTATTAAAGCAGAGCTCCAGTTATATTTTTTATTTTCCCATGAGGTGAGGCTGTGCCCGCACTACATGGGTTAACTGCTTGTTTTGTCTAGGGGCCCACGGAAAAGCTATACTAACTAGTTCTCCGATCCTCCGGAAAACTGCACTCCCCCATGTCAGCTGTGGACTGTTCCTACTATCTTCATGTCTGGAGCCGATCTATGGGCGTGATGACATCAGGAACAGCCAATTCATAGGAAATAGCCTGCAGGAGGGCAGGAGTGGCGGGGACCGGTCTTGCGCTCAGAGGATTGGTGGAGTAAGTAAGTATATCTCAGCTTTACGAACCCCTAGACAAAAATGAACATTTATTCACACAGCTCCACTGCATGGGAAAAAAAAAAGTTTTGGCTGGATTTCTTGTTTAGGACTATGTACACACTAACCCGCACTCTGCAGGCTGGTTGTGGGAATCAATGCAATTCCCAGACCTGCTGCCACATCGCGCTACTCTAGACATGGGGGCAACCCCCTGCATCTCATCCCGCAGTGCGATTGCAGTACGTTCGTGGGTGCGGAAGCGCATGGAAACCTGGGTGCAAGAAGCGCACGGAAACCGCATGGTCAAAAAAACCATGCAGTTTCCGTGCGGATGCATTTCAGAAAAGGTGCTTGCACCTTTTTCTTGCGTGCGCTGCGGGTCCAACAGCCCATTCAAATTAATAGGCCGCTGTGCCTCGCAAACGCGGGCTGCATGGCACGCACTAGTGTGAACCAGGCTTAAGAGTTAAGAGACTGCAGATGATACAACCATGTAAAACTGACCAGCAGCAGGACAATATTAATATCTCCAAACCATCCTGGTTTCCATAAGGCTGTTTCTACTGGTGCATGCTGGGGAAGGATATAAATACTTGGACAGGCCTTGTGCTTGCTTTCTTCCCCTGGGCTAAGGCCTGGGGAGGCTGAATTGAGGTCTGCTGTTAGGCCCAATAGCCTGATCTTGGGGCCAACACGTGCTGAAGTGATTCTGAAGCTGTTCAGCCTGATCTGGAGGAAGCTGTGCCAAGGAAGAGACCCAGGGGTGGCCCCTTGCTGGAGAGAGCCAGGAAGAAGACTTGACTCTCAGAAGGGACTTGACTCACTAGGATGATGCACTGAAATGTGGACATTGATCTGGATCTGGAGAGTCTGTAAGTGATCTGCTACAATGCCTGGGACCCCTATTCCTCAAATCGTTAACCTGAAATACAACTTTAAAAAGACAAAAGTGACTAGCGCCCAATATCTTTTTTCAGTCCCCCCTATTTTAGGCATGAACTAAGCCCTGGTGTGAAATGCTAGCCCGCCCCTGCCTCTGGAGGTGCTATGCTGGGGTTGCAGAGGGTTACTACACGTAGGTAAATGCTGATGCAAAAGAACACAAGTGCGTGCAGCTGTTCACTTCTGTGGCTGGCTCTAGGCGCCATCCGCGGCTCCCCACGCATTAGAAAACAACCAGAATTTTGTGCCAGCGGACCTTTCCATCTGCAAACATCCATGTGCATAAGTCCTTATTTTATGCTGCCTGCACTAAAGTTGGATAGCATTTCTACAGCACCTTCGGCAGGAAAACGGTATTGTAAGATGTATGTTCCTGCACTCACTGTGTCTTATTATACTAGCTATGGCCAATAAGCTTAGGCATCCTTCAACTTCTTTTTTAAATGGGGGGAGGGGAGAAAACAGTACTGACCAGCGATGCCTTTGGGGAGGAATAGAGGAAAACACTACTGACCACCAATGCATTTGAGTGGAGGGGTAAAACACTATTGACCACTGACCACCAATGCCTTTGAGGGGATGGGAAAACACTACTGACCACTGACCACCAATGCCTTTGAGGGAAAACACTACTGACCACTGACAGTCCATGCATTAAGAAAAGGCAACACCACTAACCACTGTGTCTTTTGCCTGGGGCTGGCGGGACTCCCATTTCCACTTACCACCAATGCTTTTAAAAAGGGTGGAGGCATTCAGTGATTGCCGCTATGTGTGAAGGACAGTAAGGATTTTCATAGTCCTTTTACGGCATTACAGTGTACCCTGGTTACATTTAATGCACAAGGTCGCCAACCCACCGCAGTGGACCAAAACGCCGACATGCTGTATTATGGCGCACTTTCTGTGCATTTTGGATGCAGAAAAAAAGCAACTGAAATGCAGGGCCAGTTCACACTTCAATGCATTCCAGATACGTTTTTGCTTACAGTTCACACCACATGCAGTTCTGGTGCAGTTTTGATGCAGTTTGCCATGTTCCAGTATGATTCTGTGCAGTAAAAATGCAGCGTGCTCTACTTTTGTTCTGCACTGGAAACTGACTGGAACTGACTGCACTAGTGTGAACCAGGGCCATTGGAATACATGCAAAACACTGTGTGCATTTTTGATGCAGAAAAAAACTGAACTGCATCTAGTGTGAACTAGCCCTTAATCAAGAAATGGACATCTTTTGAGGACAGCGAGGTGCACACTTTGGACAGAGAAGACAACTGATTCACAAGAGACGTGAAAGAGGTCATCTACTGTACGTCAAACTGGAACAACCATCCCTCAACTTGGGTGGGTGAACTTTGAGGCCATCTACTGTATGTCAAACTGGAACAACCATTCCTCAACTTGGGTGGGTGAACTTTGAGGCCATCTACTGTATGTCAAACTGGAACAACCATTCCTCAACTTGGGTGGGTGAACTTTGAGGCCATCTACTGTATGTCAAACTGGAGCAACCATTCCTCAACTTGGGTGGGTGAACTTTGACACAATCTGTCTATCACATATAATGCTGTTTAAATCAAAGCCATGTAAATCAAAGGATTAACATTTATGAAGTACTGTATTTCTGACACCAGGTATTATGTAACTAGTATAAGGCAGTTCCACAATTTTCACACCTCCCATCTTGTTCTTGAACAATCAACATCTACACTTTCCATGGTGAATGGCAAAGTACTGACGCTACCAATGTATTTTCCTGACACTCATGTCAGGAATGGACTCACCACTGGTGGTGGGACTCACCTGCCGTGTGGGCTGCAGTACCAGGGCTGGCCAGCGGGAGCTCTCAGCAGCCAGAAGCTCACTCCTGCAATCAAGTCATCACCTGAGGCTGATTTCAGGAGGTGTATTTAAGGAGTGGCCAGGCCTGCAGTCAGTGCCTTGGTGTATGTTTCCCATGAGCCCCTGTACCTGCATCCTGTTTGTTTCCTGCCTGATCCTGTTTCTGCTTTAATCCTGACTCTGAATGAACTCCGCCTGTCCTGACCTCGGCTATTCCTGACCACTCTTCTGCCTGCTCCTTTGTGTCTTGTCTGCCCGATGGTTCCTGACCCGGCCTGCCTGACCACTCCACCTTACCAGCCCTGACTGCTCTTGTCTGTGTTCATTCCGTTATCAGTTGGAGGTTTGGTTTTGTTATATTGTGCGTTTTATATTTGTGTATAACCTTTAATAAATTATATTGTTACACCATACTTGAGCCTGCATTTCCCTGTGTCAGTTCACACATCTCTGGTCTTACCGGGAGCCCTGACACATTAGAACTGAAAAAGTGGCTTGGACAATTATGTTTAATAATAATAAAATCATTACATAATAAGTCCAGTTGAAAATGATGAATTAATACTAGATACCCATGTTTGCTTAATTTTGTGTCTCCATGTTCAATTGTAGGGGTGATGGTACTTCCCAAAGGGGGTTAAGGCATTTCCATGTTTAGGTATCAAGTATACATTTTTTAGTTAGAGAGGTTGAGTCAGTGGTAATTTTAGGTCAGGGCAGAGAGGCTCTGCAGATCAGCTCACTGCTACTCCCCCCTGACCTGGAGAAGTCTCTAGAACTCAGTGGGTGGGGGTGAGGAGGAACTGGTCTGCACTCTTGAGGGATCCTGGCTAATCCCCAGGCAAGAGTCTTGGCTTTGGGGAAGGACAGCCCTTAAGAATGGCTGAACCTGCTCAGCAGCAGGAGAGTTAGGATGGAAGATGGAGTGAGGAGGATGGAGTGTGAAACCTGGGAGGGGGCTCAGGAGTGGGGGCCTACCTGCAGGCAGGAGCTGGAAGGGAGGATCGCTCAGCCTCAACCATCCCCTGAGAGAGGAGAGCCTGGGAAGCAGGGAAGGAGCCATCCCAGCGTAAGGCCAGAAGGCAGCCACCAATCCACAAGCTTGCAGGAGAGGACTGAGTGAGCAATCCCACACCCACCCCCTGAGTTGGATAAGGGGAGAGGGCATTCTGGTAGAAAACCTGACTAGCACCCATCTGAGACTGCTGATTTGAAAGTGGCAGATTCTGGGTCCCCTTGCTCAGGGATTCCCTCAGGCAGCTGGATGAAGATGATATTTAATTTGGTGTCTAAGGTGGTACACCTGGAGGGCTGGAGACCTCTTCCAACAAAGAGACTTTCTTCTCTATGGACTTCTACATAGTTGCTATGGAGTTTGTCCTAAGTTGACAGTTTCCCTAGGCATCCCATGCACTCCTCAACCCCGTCCAAGTTTAATACCCCTTAATAAAATCCAAAAAAAAAAGCTTGAGGACTGTTTACTGTCTCCTGTGGTCTGAAGAAAATGAATGTTGCCTGGCTGTGCAGGACTATGGAGGGACCTGAATCTTCAGCAACTCCTAAGGGGGTAGTGCTAGGGGGAATTAAATTCAAATAATGCCTAAATAGCTTAAACAAGGAGCTCAAAAATACATTGAAAACCTTTATCCTGATATTGTTATTTCGCTGCTTTATAATGCTTATTGAGATCTGTTTCTATTATGCCTGGCCAAGGTCTTTGCCTATTTTTTTTCTGTCTGTATACTGTGATTATACTCTTTAAAATGATAAAAAGATTGAAAGAAAAACCCTTTGTCCTTGGAAGAGCCAAGTTCAGCATCTTCCCTTACACTCAAACCTGATAGCTTCATGTCTTCTACTAAATGACAGGTGCTCTTGAACATGAACTATCACTATGATCCTAGTTTTCAGAACTCTTTGTCAGTGTTTTTTTTGATAACTTAATTCTCCCTCGACTTTAGCACAGCTGAAAATGGCGCTTTCCTCCTTTCCAGCCAACCTGAGAATGCACGGCCAACATGTGCGAATACAGAAGCTGCATTATACAAACACGATGGCTGGAGAAGCATAATAACAGGATCAGTAGATGCAATGGCTGCCCTTTGTTTCTATACACAGATGTTTCCCATGATAGCGCCCGAGTTCCAGTGAAATGATAAAGCTTGTTTTATCGCCATACGCCAAGCGTCTGATACAAATGCAAATGAGCACCAAGTGGCTGGAGCTGTTTGGTTTTATAAGCTGTTTTCGGTGACTGGCTGGTTCTCAGGCTCCTCTCTGCCCTTATTTTGCTTTTTTAGCTGCTAATTGTTTCAAAGCAGGCCCTCTTAATTACTCAGTGGATCTTCTGGGACACAAACATTTGCGTTCATGTTGAAAGGCACGCTAAAGTTTCTGTCTGTTCCTAATGGTAGCAGAGGTACATCTAGATGCTCCAAAAATGTAGTAAAAAAAAAACAAAACAGATGTACCGATGGATAGAATTATTTTCACAGGCTAATTGTGTGTAATGAGAGTCATAATTAACCTACCTTAAAGGATCAGTCCAATATTTCAGTAAATTCTACAGGTTGGAAATTAAAACTACTTGACATTTCCTTATACAACTTGTGGACACTGTTGGTGAGATCTCTACACTGAGTTCCAGCCATTTCAAATCGCCTTTCCCATTATGAGGGGCTCCCAACATACCTGCTGGATTTTTTTTTTTTTATGTTATGCTCTGCAGAATGTAACTGGCAGAGTTGGGCCACACATCGGATTAAGGTCTGGATACTGGCTAGGCCACTCCAGGTTCTTAACCACTTCCAGACCGGACACTTTTACCCCCTTCCTGACCAGGGCAATTTTCAGCTTTTAGCGCTATCACACTTTGAATGACAATTGCGCTGTCATGCAACACTGTACCCAAATGAATTTTTTACCATTTTTTTGAGATAGATAAAGCTTTATTTTGGTGGTATTTATTCACCACTGGGATTTGTATTTTTTTTTTCCTATGTAAATGAAATGTCCAAAAAATTTGAAAAAAAGTGTTTTTTTTATACAACTTTGCAAATAAATAATATTTCATCATAAATCTTAGCCAAAATTTATTCCGTTATCTTTTTAGTAAAAAAAAAAAAAATCCAAATTAGTTTATAAGCAAAAATTATAATTTTTAAACATTTTTTTTTACATTTTTATTTTTTTTTTTATATTATTTTTTATTTTATTTTATTTTTTTTACATACTGTCACCCTAGCAGTACAGTGTCACCATGGTGACACTGTACTACTTGTGGGGGGGTGATGAAGTTTTTTTTTTTTTTTTTACACTGATTGCTTTTACACCCATATAGGATATAAAAGCAATCATTTCTCTTTCTCTCTGTGTGCATTCTTGCACTCATTGAAAAGAACTGAGTGAGCTGTGATTGGTCATAGCTTGTCACATGGTACAAGGCTTTTGTGAATAGCCTTGTACCATGTGACCTCTGTGATCATTCACAGATTTCACACATAGTAAGCAATGATGTCAGAAGTGACATCTTGCTTACTACTTTGCATGTGATCACTGATTGGCCAATCAGTGATCACATGATCGGGACCTCGTACAGAGGTCCCGTCCGACGATCGGTGTTTCACTGTGTCCGGAGGACACAGCGGGCACCGGATCGCGGTGCTGCGCGCTCCCAGGGAGCGCGCACAAGCAGGGTGCGGGGAGGCCGTTTATAGACGGCCACCCGACCCTGCAGTGCCACCGTCCGGCCGTTTATATACAACGGCCGGTCGGGAAGTGGTTAATGGGCTTCTTCTTGAGCCACTCCTTTGTTGTCTTGACAGTGTGTTTTGGGTCATTGTCATGGTGGAACACCCATCCATGACCCATTTTCAATGCCATGGCTGAAGGAAGAAGGGGCTCACCCAAGATTTGACGGTACATTGCCCCGTCCATCGTCCCTTTGATACGGTGCAGTTGTCCTGTCCCCTTAGCAGAAAAACATCCATGTTTAACAGCTGGGATGGTGTTCTTGGGGTCATAGGCAGCATTCCTCCTCCTCCAAACACGGCGAGTTGAGTTGATGCCAAAGAGCTCGATTTTGGTCTCATCTGACCACAACACTTTCAACGAGTCCTTCTCTGCATCATTCAGATGTTCACTGGAAAACTTCAGACGGACCTGGATATGTGCTTTCGTGAGCAGAGGGACCTTGCGGACACTGCAGGATTTCAATCCTTACCGGCGTAGTGTGTTACCAATTGTTTTCTTGATGACTTTGGTCCCAGCTGCCTGGAGATCATTGACAAGATCCTCACGTGTAGTTCTGGGCTGATTCCTCACTGTTGTCATGATCATTGACACGCCACGAGGTGAGATCTTGCATGGTGCACCAGACCTAGGGAGACTGACATTTGTTTTGTGTTTCTTCCATTTGCGAATGATTGCACCAACTGTTGTCACCTTCTCACCAAGCTGCTTGGCGATAGTTTGGTAGCCCAGTCCAGCCTTGTGTAGGTCTACAATCTTTTCCCTGACATTCTTGGACAGCTCTTTGGTCTTTGCCATGGTGGAGAGTTTGGAATCTGATTGTTTGATTGCTCCTATGGACAGGTGTCTTTTATACAGGTAACAAAATGAGATTAGCAGCACTCCCTTTGAGAGACTGCTTCTAATCTCAGCTTGTCACCTGCATAAAAGACACCTGGTAGTCAGAAATCCTGCTGAATGATAGGGGATCAAATACTTATTTCCCTCATGAACATGCAAATCAGTGCATAATTTGTTAGACATGCATTTCTTTTGAGTTTTTTGTTGCTATTCTGTCTCTCAGTGTGACAATACACCTACCATTCGATTTTTAGACTGACCATTTCTTTGTGAGTGGGCAAACATTCAAAATCAGCAGGGGATCAAATACTTATTTCCTTCACTTTAGTTGAAGATAAATCTAAAGGATATTGGGCAGAAATTGAACAGAAAATGGTATAATTTATGGGCAGCCTAAGTAAAGTAGCTTTACTTATCTGGTCCACCACTTCCACAGCCTCCCCTGTGCTGCCAGACTGGTCCCTGAAGCCTCTTTACCTCTGTACTGCGGTAGTCAGATGCAATTAATTAGACATGAGGACACTGAGGGACAGCCTACTGCTGGAATGTAAGGGAACGCTGTATGCCAGGGGACTGGAGGTTTTAAAATGTACCTGCAAAGAAATAAGTTAGGATTTATACTTACCTCATCCTTATCTTCCACCCAAGGTATCTAGGCATGAATGACGTCACATTGCTTCTCGCTAGATCCTGGGGAATACAGAACAGCTGAAATCTCTTACAATGGACTGCAGTGACGTCACGTGAGATATCACCTGCTCTCAGGAGTTTCTTCAGAAGGACGGTACCACCATGTCCAGCAGGTGCATTTTGGATCTACTAACATTA